GACATTGGTTCGCAACCTCCTTCAGAAATGTTTCATTTCCTTTGAATTTGAGAGTTCTCTCTGGTCCTGATGTCTCAGGGAACCTGCCCTGTGACACTAATTGTCTCAGGACCTTGTTGGACCTTTTCTTGTGAACTGGAAGGAATTGTTATATGTGCTCAGAATTAATACATTAGGCAGGATCTCTATTACAGGATGGATACTGTGAAGATGTTGGTGTAAGACTTCTGTAAGAGTCTCATCCGTGAGAGCAGTGAGAATGGGCCTGTATCTCAGGGATACACTATGTGACTGCATGAAAGCAGTGAGAAAACTGGCAAAATATGCCAGAATCAATGTTTCTGGAGCTCTAGAAATTTAAAATTTTGTAATTTTTTTTCTAAATAGATGCTACTTAGAAAAAAACTGCTGAATCTCACAAATGCTAGCTTGGTGGAATTGTGCTTGTCCTGTTCTCATTCCATCCCTCCCTCCTCATTTCTACTGTTGCCTTGTAAACCAGTAGTTCCATAATCACAGTGAAAACTGTCAGCCTGGCTGCCAAAGGAGGGGCAGAATGGACTTGAAGTTCCTTCCAACCCCCTCTTTCTCCTTGTCCTTTTCTTACTACATTAAGCTGTGATGCACCATGAGATTTGAGAACTGCTAGTGAAGAAGCCGGTTTCTGTTTCTGTTAATGGAACATGCACCATTAGCTGTTGACAGAATCTGGGATCACTCAGGACATGATACTTGGGACAGAACTAAATCTCCTCTGCCTCAATTATACATCAGAGACTTTGGAAAAACTAGTGCTGCCTCTCATCAGGGGCTTTTTAATACACCACAATGAATTGAATGACAACCTCCAGTTTGACTCTGGTTAAATATTCTAGTTTTATGTAAAGTTTCATCATCATTTCTGGAAGAAAATATCATAGAACTGGTTTCACTTTATGTAATTCTGTAACTGAACATGTGCCAAGGGTATTAGTTTACCACAGAAGCACCCATACTTCCTACTGAGTCACTGACTTAATCCCCGTAAGCTCAGATCTTTCTGGAAAGTATATTCAAATAACTAAACTAATAACATGACCAAGGCTTGTGAAAGGAGAAGATAATTTAGCCTGAAGGGCTGTGACATAAAACCGGATGCAGGCTGCCTTATCTGCTCATTCAAAGATAGTATATTGAATCATATTTACTTGTGTTAAAATGATTATGCAACAGCACCTTGTACATACAGTATTTGATTGTCATGACTAGTTTCATTTGAACTGTTTGAAGTTTTTATTGGTGAATGATTATTGCTGTGATTTTAAATCCTACTTGAAGGAGTCAGCATAATGCATACACTAATTGATTGTGGCTCTAATCAATTATTGTTACCCTTTTTCTATGGAAATGTTCATCATTGTATTTAGGCTTATTGACATCTGGTGGATGTTTATAGAACCAGGAAATAAGATTTTCAAAATGTAGTTTTTTGGATGAGGTGTGATTCATTTGTTGCATTTGTGGTGGGGTTTGGTCTCATCTCAGAAATTGGAAACTTTGCTTTATGAGGCTAGATCAGCACCAATTCTCCAGCCCACAGGGCTTCTAGGGAACAGTCTAGAGTGATTAAAGGGGGAGAAGCATTATGATCACATTATCTAATTAGCCCTCTATCTTTAATCACATCTAAACCAAGAGCATCTTAAGAGTTCACATTTTATGCAAAGTTCCTCCCCTTTATTTGAAAGTAATTTATATACATAGTAGAAAATTTAAAATATATACAATATATATGAAGATAATGAATGGGAAGTCTCTTGTAATTCCATTGTTCAAAGAACCATAGGACAGTATGCTTTACATCTGCATTGGTAATAATTTCATGTTCCTTATGTTCATTATCATGTCACCTTTATGATAGTCCACCCCACAGTTTGTCCATTCCTTTTATATGTATTCCTGAGTTACAGCCCCATTAAAAACAATTTGCATGTGGATAAAGTAGTTTCCAATAATAGGTCTATGTGTTAACTTGACTGAGAAAAAGTTGACAATAAGGGGATTTTAAGTATGATGCTTTGCAGGAAGTGTTCTCATTTGAGATGTATCTATCATCACCCTACCATATTGTGTGTGTGTTTTGTTTTTGAATTCTTTTTATGTATTATAAAGTACATGCAATGGAAGGGGTGAGCAGCGCATGGGGTATGCAGAGAGCACACCTTAATTTGGGGGCTAGTGAACACTTATCTGTTGCTTCTTAAACTAGATGGTAACCATTCAAAGGCAAAAACAACATCTTTATCTATCTTTCATTTTCCTCAGCACATAGTAGAGCTTAGCATAATGAATAGATGCTTAATAAAACCAGCTCTGGGAATTAAATAAGATATTTGGCTAGACTTCCTGTGGCTGGTGGAGAGCACCAGAAGTCAGTCCTTCTAGATTGTTTGTCTTGTCCAGTGAATCTAGTAAGTTGTGGAATTTCTGGATCATAAGGTAGTTCCATTTTTAATTTTTTGAGGAACCTTTATGCTGTTTCCATAGAATTACACCAATTACATTCCCACAAAGAGGTTCTCTTTTGTCACCCACAAAGAGGTTCTCTTTTGTCTTTTTGTCACTACATTGTCACCAACATTTGTTATTTCTTGTCTATTTAATTACCATTCTAATGTGTGTGAGGTGCTATCTTGTGGGCTTTGATGATGTTGAGCACCATTTTATATACCATTTGGCCATTCTTATGTCTTGTCTGGGAAAATGTCTGTTCATATCCTCTGCCCTTGTTTTTTCAAGTGGGATTGTTTGTTTTGCTATTGAATTCTATGAATCCCTTATATGTTTGGGATATAATCATATATGTGATTTGCAAATATTTTCTCCCATTTGGTAGTTTGTCTTTTCATTGTTTTGGTATTTTCCTTTGCTTGTTTGGTTTGTATATCTTCTGCAGTCATCGTCATCATAAATACAATTTAGCAAAGCTAGTTGAGTCCTTGATCACCTTCTTTTTTTCAGCTTAGAGACTTTGTTTTATACCAGTAGCCATTGCTTTTAATTCATAGTGCCAATTGTCACTCTAATAAATTATCATGTAACTAATAAGTAATTCCACTAAAGAAATAAAATGAAATTAAAACAAATTAAGAAATGTAAAGGAAAGGGAAGAGCTTCAGATGTAGACTAAGTGTACCAATTGCTGTGAGACCTCTAGGAAGTGTGTTAGCAATCTTACTCAGGCTGGGATTATGATGAAGTGACACATTTTAAAGTTGTATTTTAGATGTGCAAATTGGAATTAGAAATCCCAACTTCTGAATTTGTTTCCTTAACTTTGTTTTTGCATTCAGAACTAAATTAAGTCAACTTTCAAAGCTGAAATTTTCTTTGTAAATGTGAATAAAACAGCAAGTCCTTTAATCAACCATTAAAAACTTAAACTAAAGTTGGTTTGTAACATTTACATAGGTGTGTTCCTGTGTGCAGATCTGTATCCACATCTGGTATTGCATTAGGCTTGTTACCAAAAGAGTTTCCTTTTCTCTGCATTGTAACTTCTTGTCTTTTTTTTTTTTTTTATAATAGCCATTCTAACAGGTGTGAGATGATATCTCACTGTTATTTGTATTTGCATTTCTCTGATAATAAAGGATACTGAATATCTCTTCATGTGTCTGTTGGCTATCTGTATGTCTTCTCAGCATTTTTGATCAGATTGTTTTTGTTGTTGAGTTTTGTGAGATTTTTATCAATTTTAGTTATTAACTCCTCATCTGGTACATGATGTGCCAATATGTTTTCCCATTTAGTAGGTGGCCTTAAAGCTTTCTTCTTAGAACCGGCATGAGCACACTCGGTTTTATACATTCAGGTCTGCCAGGGCAAGAGACTTACTGAAGTACTTTACAAAAACTTTTTGACTCGTTAGTGGGCTTATGTGATGGAACCATCAGTTTTTTAATAGAAAATGAAATTTAAAAGGGCTGCTCTGTTTAAAGTTTCAGAAAACCTGTCGGTTGCATTTTCTACTCTTTGCCTGTACCTGTGGGATTTTGGAATCAGTTATTATTAATCAGACCTTCCTTTAAAATTTTAAGTGAGTTCAGCTCAAAAAAGAAAGACTTACAGCTTATTTTCTGGAGCATTTCTGTTACTGACTGTACAGAAAAGTAGCTGACAACTTTTGAAGTTTGCTTTTGTTTTAGGCTTGAACTTGCAGGATAAAACCTATCTGTGCTCCCACATTGAGGCAGTAATTTAAAACGTATATGGAAGCCCTCAGTGTTGTCTTGTTTTCTACTTGTAATCTGTCACATTGTCACACTTGTAGGCTCTGCTAAATCACTAGACAAGAGAACCTAGGCTTAGTAATGTAGGGTTTCTAGAGTGAATCCTAGTGGTGAAACTTGTTTACCCTGTGAATTAACAGCATATTTCCTTAAATTTCAGCTGCTGTGCCAGGCTTTATGTGAGGGATCAGGCTATGGAGCTATTTCCCTGTCATTAAGATTTCATTGTCTAATACCTTAAGTTAATATTAAAGTTGCTAAATGGATGACCTTGTGTAGGTTTGAACTGAGAAGCAAGAAGTCCTGAGAGCATTATAGGAAGGTAAAGTTGAAAGTGGGTCGTAAGATTGGAGTTGTGCATGTAAGCTAAGTTTCACCACTTCACTTGATTACAAATTTGATCTGCCTCAGGTCACCTCTGTAAATGTGTTTGGCTTGATTATAAGCAGCCTGGATGGTAGATAAATTTCCTATATAGTCTTGATCTGTTTTGTGCTGTTAATGAAGTTACACTGTTCACGAGTCTGGCCTTAGATGATGAGTAGTGCACAGAATTGTTGAGCCATGCAGTCTAAGGAATTAGAAATAGCTATTTGGGCATGGGTTTGTTGGTGGTGGTTATGATGCCCAGTCCTCATTTAGGTGAAAGTAAAGGTAGAGAACACTGTCTGTTTTTTAAATGCACATGCCTATGCTAAAAAAGCTTCATGTTTCCCTTTTAATTTGTAGATATAATACTTTGCCAAGCAGACGAACTCTGAAAAATTCAAGACTAGTGAGTAAGAAAGATGATGTACACGTCTGTATCATGTGTTTACGTGCCATCATGAACTATCAGGTATGTTTGGATTACTGATCCTTTAAAAAAATCTGAATTTGTCAGACACGAATCTTATTCTCTTTGGTTTCTTTGTATTTTTTACATTTGAAGTAAATATTAGGATGTAATGAGATACTAGAGAAAAAAGAAAGATCTGGTTCATTCTAACATTCAAAACTTAGTTAATTGCCCTTATATTTTAATTGGCGTATATAATTTACAAGGTAGTTAAAGGAGAGATGATTTCCTCTTACAGTGATAAGCTTGTTTAGATTACTTGTAAATCTTTGTGCCCGTTAAAGGCAGAATAAGCTGATGGTTATGGATAATGACGGAATAACCTTAGAACACTAAGAACAAGTAGACCCTCATACTAGGTAGATGACTGGTCTCAAGGGATTGTGAGGCAAATAGCAAGAAGTTAGGGCTACCATCTATTGGACTTTGTCATCCTGATCCTCATAAGAAGCACCTGGAAGATTTTTGTTAAAAGTGCAGTTTCCTCCTTCAGGTGATTGTGATGCAGGTTATCTCTACTCTAAGAAACACCGGGAGAGTATAGTGTGTGGTTTGGATTAACCCTAACAACAAAGTGAAAGTTAGAGCTGAGTGTATAGGGGGTAGACAGAGAGGGTAACAACTATTGTAAGATAAGTAAACCAGGGGTGAGAATTAGAAAAACATGATTTAGATAATTATGTTGATATGAATGCTATGTGTGGATTTCATCTTAAGGAAGAGGTAAGGGAGAGCATAAATCTATGTGTGTCAATTGATGTTATGTTGGAGCTTTGGGAAGTGTAATTAGAAATAGTTCTGAGCTGGAAAGTGAGTTTGGAGAAGGATTACTTCCTCAGCTGAGCAGGACCTAGAATGACTCTTGGGCATGTTGTTCATTGACTCCTTTTTATAGAAGGATGAGGTAACAGGTCTCAGAGCAAGATAAGTTTACTAGATTTTTGATGCTTTTAACAAACATTGTCCAGAGAAGGGGACTGGAGCGGTGGTTGTCAACCCTAACTGTAAAGTGGAATCACTCTGATAGTTTAAAAAATTGTCACATGCCATTCAAAATGTTGGGGGGTGGGGGGCGGGAGGGGAGGGATGGGGTCAGAATTGGGGGTTTGCAATTGTATGGGGGAATATAAAAATAAAATTTATTATTTAAATAAATAAATAAATAAAGAAAAAAAAAAACCAAAAACAAAATAAATTAGCCTGGGGGGTCATGGAGAATCAGGGGTTTTTGTTTATTCTTGCAGGTGATTTCATTGAGCAGAAAAATTGAGAATCACTGGCTGGTGCCTCTTTACCATTTTAATAAACAGAAACATGGAGTTTTTTCTATAAAGAATAGGAATGTGATCCCTTGATAACAGCATCACTTCTGAAAATTTTCATAGAAAAATGTTCAGACACTGATGTACATTTGTGATGATATGACTGTATTAGATAGAACTTCAGGGTTTTTGTTACTTAATATAATAAACATTGCCAGTCCCCAAGCTGACTAGTAATGCTGTGTTTTGTCTACATTTATTTCAGTATGGTTTCAACATGGTGATGTCTCATCCACATGCTGTTAATGAGATCGCCCTAAGTTTGAACAACAAGAACCCAAGGTAAGCTTGCTCTGTGATGTACAAGTCTGTATCTAGGGAAAGCAGAGAACTAGTCAACACTTTATCAGGTTATGTTATCCAAGTAAGAGTTTGGAAATTTTCAAGTGAGATTCTCTGAAATAAGATTGCCAGTAGATTCTAGACTCCTTGGCTCTGTGGAATTTTCATTTCAACTAAGTTGTATTTCTTACATGTGACAGAGTTGAATCACTTGTGACAACTTTGGCCCTGCTTTTCCAGCTTTCATCTTCTTGAAGCCTGGCATTAAGCATCTTTGCAAGTTTAACAAAATTTGGTGGCAAGCATGAGGTTGTCAGGTTGCCAGGACTGGGGCTAGGAGAATCTTGATATAGACTTAGCTACACCAGCTAATAATGGGAGCTAACTTAAACCACTATTCCTTCATTTTGCAACCTTTACATATGTAGTTTTTATGACCAAATGAAAATAATTTTATGCATATTTCTTCTATTCACTTTCCTATAAAGGCCAATGCCATATATTATTCACATCATAGGTTATCTTCTAGAAGCCTGTCTTCATCAGTTTATTTTATTTATATTTGTTTTCCATCCTGATCAGAAATTCTGTTTCTCAAAAGTATCATTCCCTTTCATCAGTTATCTATGGCTTATCTGAGACAGTTAATAAATTTTTTAGTTAACTAAAAAATATGATGATAAATTCTTTCTGATTCAGAATGCAGTGCAAACTATAAAGTCCTATTTCAATGTTGGATATTAGTATTCCAAACGTCCCCTGATTACAAACCTTTTGCAACTCTAATTGCTTCCTTAATTTACTAGAATCCCTAATAGTCGTGCTGCTGCTTCTCTGCCTCCATTACAAGGAAGTCACTATTCACTATTCTTTAGACACTTAACATTGTGGATTATCAGAATGCTCTTTGTTTAGAGGTTGGCAATAGTCTTTATTCCAGAAAAAGCATGAAAATCTGGTAATCTTAGGATGAAGAAAAATGCTATGCTTGATATTGTATTTGAAAACTTATGCTGTATTTCTAGGTTCTCCTTCTAAAAATATTTCAGATTAAGTTTTAGTTTGTTGAGTTGGAGAAAATATTCTTACATTAGTGCAGCTGTGACCTGGCTCCTTTCAGATCTCCTTCATAGGAAGAAGAAATGACAGAAACATGCATTATCATTTGTGGATGGAGCCACCTGCAAATAAGCAGATTTGCTAATTTAAAACTTCAGTTTCAGTCAGTTTTGAACTTTTCTGCAAATGTTGTATTTCTCACTCTTAATAACAGAGAAAATATTTGACCAGTGCTTTATTTTCCTGAATAATCCCAAACTTCCTATTGCTTTTGGCTCGTCAGTGAAACTTGTTCAACTATATTGAACTCAGACACATGATGATAGAACTCAAGGACTAATCTTTCCCAAATTTTTATTAGTGAGCAATTTGTAATTTGTGGAGTGGGAAACACACCTTCCAGATTTAATACCTATTTCACCACGTCCTCACCAACATTTGTTGTTGCTTGTTTTTTTGATATGTGCCATTCTTACTGGTGTAAGGTGGTATCTCATTGTAGTTTTGATTTGCATTTCCCTGATTATAAGGGATGCTGAACATTTTTTCATATGCCTGTTGGCCATTTGCATTTACTCTTTGGAGAAATGTCTTTTAAGTTCTTCTGCCCATTTCTTGACTAGGTTGTTTATTTTGTTTTTGTTGAGTCATGTGAGTTCTTTGTTTATCTTTGTGATCAGTCCTTTATCAGTTGAATGGAGTGTAAAGATTTTTTCCCATTCAGTGGGGTGTCTCTCTGTTTTGGTTAATGTGGATATGGTGAAAAATGAACTATCCTACATTGCTTGTAGGAGTGCAAACTGGTCCAACCACTATGGAAAGCTATCTGGAGGTTCCTCAGTCTACTAAAAATGGAGCTACCATACGACCCAGCAATTTCACTGCTAGGGGCCTACCCAAAGGACACAAAAATATTGATTCAAAAGACCACCTGTACACCTATGTTTATTGCAGCACTATTTACAATAGGTGAAACCTGGAAATAACCCAAATGCCCAAAAATAGATGACTGGATCAAGAAGATGTGGTATATATACACAATGGAATATTATTTAGCAATCAAAAAAGATAAACTTATGCCATTTGCAGCAACATGGATGGAGCTAGAAGGAATTATGCTCAGTGAAATAAGCCAGAAGGAAAAAGAAAAATAGTGGATGGTTTCACTTATAATGGGAATATAGGGGAGCCAAAGAAGACATCAGTGTAAAAAAAATAATAACAGTACAAAACACAGCAAAGCAAAACCAGACAATTATAAATCAGAGACATCCTGCAGGGAAAGAGGAAGGAGAGGGATCAGAGGGAGGGAGGGAGGAGAACAGGAGACTGTGGTAATGGTGTATGAGTGCCTTGGGGAAGGAAATTCTATGGAGACTCAACCTGAGGGGGTAGGGGGAATCAAATAATGTTTAAAAAAATTAAAAAAACAAACAAACAAACAGGTTTGTTACCTCGATAAATCATATCAATAAAATAAAGGTTTACACATACTTCATTACATCATATCCATGTTGGAAGATTGGAATAGCTGACTTATCACATTCACTGATTTGTGTTTCTCTTTTTTCTTCTTAACAGAACAAAAGCACTTGTCTTAGAACTGTTGGCAGCTGTTTGTCTTGTCAGAGGCGGGCATGAAATCATTCTATCAGCATTTGATAACTTTAAGGAGGTAGGATACTTTATAGTTTTAAAAAGAATGCTCATGCAAATATCTTGTATTTAGACATCTTTGAACAGGATGATTTGCCTTTTTATTCTAGGGCCTAACTGGTATGATATTCTGTTTTCTAAGATATTCAATTTTCTTTTTAATCCCTTTCTTTTTTTCCTTTTCTCCTATCTTTACATGAGTGAACTACCCCCCTTTCTCCTTTCACACTGAAGAGTATGTTCTCTAATCTTTACAGAGAAAATATCATTGGAATCGTCTGAGTTTAGGGAGATTTGAGAGCCTGCTATTCCTGACTGGGAGAAACTGTCTTGTAGCTCGCAAATGCCTGGGCAGATAGGATTTGGGCCCATGATTAATAGCTACTGAGCTGCTCGTGGCCGAGAGCACCATACCAGGGAGTTAGACAAAAGACAAGGCTTTGCCCTCAAGAAGATTGTTTTAAAACTTTTTATCCCCAGTTACTAATTTAGGATTCCATTCATCTCCTAATGGAGGAGGAAGTAATTATCCTTGTGTTTACTGGAGGGAGTAGATGGCATTGGTAGGGCTCAATATCAGGCATCAATATAGATTTTTGAAATAGAGTAGCCAGACCCTTTGAGCTTTGTGTTAGAGTACGGCCAACCATGCTGTTACAGTGTGGTACCAGATGCTAAAAAGAAATTTGAAGACCATACCTCTTAAGTAGATAGCAGGATTTTCTTCCTCTACTTATTAAGCCAACATATCCATTCTGTCCTAGTGACTTCCATTAATTAATTAAAATAAATTGAAGGAAGGTGTCTTTTAACTTTTGATAGATCTTTATGTGGATCGTTTCATTTTTTTCCCCTAAAGATTTAATATTCATGCATACAAGAACTGGGGTACAGGCCAGAGATTGAGGGGGTGAGAGGATTCACCAGAGACAGAGTGGGAACAGAACAGGCAGATTGAAATATACACTGCTGAGGGGAGCAGCGGGCTAGTCAGGAGAGGTCTGCTGCGCCATGTGGGCAGCTCCTTGGCCGGGGATCGAACACGGGCTGCAGTGGCTGCAGACAGCTTCATAGGTTATGTCCCAACCCCCTGTACCATGAGGGAGGCCCTATGCAGATAATTCCTTACATTCAATATTTCTAGTTCTTGGCAAAGAATGTTGCTACATGTCTTATAATGCTACATGTATTAGGAAAATAGGGCACACTTTAAATTTAATGGTAATCTGATGACAGGAAGAATATTAACTCAAGGCTTTTTGCTTTCAGTGGGTGAGGAGGTAAAGGCCTAAGCCTCATGTCACTGAGTAAGCACATATCAGTATGTGATGGTCTGGAAACTCTGTACATGAGCTTTAGTTGCATAAATTCAGATGGTAGACTTGAACCAAAAATGGTTAGTGACATTCCTGAAAATGTGACTATATTGAGTAAAGACTACTTTCACAGTCAACCATTGTGTCCTTGAAGTTTTTTTCTCTTAATTTTTTTTTTTTTTAAATAAAGGGAATTAACACATCTGGTTTTGTTGTTGAAATATCTCCTCATGAAAATTTATGGTCCTGAAATGAGGACGAGGGTGAGAACAAGGCGTCATCTGTTTTTCCTTATTGGCTAATTTAGCCGTGTGGAAAGACATATGCCCATCTTTCCTAAATTGATACTTTGTTAGTTGCCTGGCAATATATATTTTTGAGCAATTAATCTACCAGACACCCCCCAAAAAAATTGAAAGTGAAAAATCACTCTTGGCTTTTGCATTAGTTCAGAGTCTCATTTGCAAGAAGCAGAAACTGACTCTAACATATAGAGCGAGGGGTTGATTGGAAGGATGTCTAGAAATGCACAGAGTTGACAAGGAGCCTGGAGAGACAGGTCTGGAAAATGGGCAGCCGTTCCAAAAATGTGGCTAGACTCTCAGACTGTGCCCTGGAAACCGAGCCATCGTCAACACTGCTTGGGGGTCTGCTCATAGTTTTTCTTCTCTTCCAAAGGACGTGGACCCATCGCCTGGGTCACAAAACTACACTACTATTTAACGGCATCTATGAGTCCTCCGTTTGTCCTGAACACTGTTTAGTCTAGATTCTCTTAGGAATTGTGAAGTCTTCTACTTAGACCCTGTTTTCCTAACTTTTCTTAGCCTTTCTTCTTTTTCCATTATATTCTTAGTTATATCTGTGGAATTGCCTTTAAAAAGTGTGTCTGGCAATAAAAAGTATGTTCCTGTTTGAAATCAAAGGGGAAAAGGACTGAGGCCCACTGGCTGCACTGGAATTGCCTACTGTGACACGCTAATAAAACCATCTGAAAGCTCTATGCTAGCAAACCCCTCCCCACCCACTGGGAGGTATACCTGGAGTTCATCAGGATTCCAGATAGATTATAACTGTATTCTCGTCTACTTCCAAAATGACAGCGTATGACTTTAACAAAACAGCCTGAGTTTGGTTATGAGAGGCCCAACTCCCTCCCAATTTTTATTTCCCCGTGTAGATAGAGGGAGCCTTGTGCAATGAGTCATGCAGGGCCACCAGCCACCCTGCACACAGCATCTTGGCAGTAGCTGCTGATTTTTTCACCTATTGCTAGAAGGCTTCCTAAGAAAACTGATGTGGGTTAGCTACTGGGCATCTGTAGTCACTTGTGCTACACATTATTAAGGTGATTTAAGAAAACCTGTCAACTTTTATTTACAGTGGACCAAATTGGTCAGGAAGGAAAACAAACATCTTGGTGTGCTTCCAGCACGTCTTTCAGTTTTAGTCCCTCTAATCCAACCCAACCTCTGGAATGATTAAGGGTGGAAGATCAGAAATCAGCAAAAGACTATCCTGATAGCTCCTTCACTGATAAGTTTTCAACATAGAGAAAAATTTTAGTTTTAGTTCTCAATGAACCAAAAGCAGTATATTCTCTCAAATCTCAAAAGTGGGAGCTGTATTTCTTTTTTAAAAGATTTTTATTTTATTTATACATACAAGAACTGGGGTATAGGCCAGAGGTGCAGGGGGTGAGAGGATTCACCAGGGATAGAGTGAGGGGCAGAACAAGTAGATTTACTGAAATACACTGCTGAAGAGAGCAGCGGGCGAGACAGGAGAGGTCTGCTGTGCCATCTGGGTTAGCTCCCTGGCCGGGGATCAAACTTCTGCCACAGTGGCTGGCAATAACTTGAGTGTGCTGAGACTTTAACCCCTGCACCACCAGAGAGCCCTGGAAACTATATTTCTAAAGCATGGATGTTTGATTTTACCAGGCCAGAATTAGATTTATCTAATTCACCAGGACTTTTCTGTCCAGTTCATTTTCCCAGAATGAGGAAGCAAAATCATAGTAACTTATTTTTAATTGTCTATTAACCATTACAGTTATTTCTTATGTATAATAAATTACCCCAAACTTCATTTCATTAGTCTCATGGATTCTGTGGGTCAGGAGTTAGACTGGTCATGGCAGTTAGACTGGTCATGGTCTTTGCTGTGTTAGTTCTAAGGGCTCATCAGGAAAGAGCCGATTGAGTAGGATCAGAAATTCATGTGGAAGCCCCTTCACTCACTTATGTAGACTCTGGGTGGGCTCTGATGACTCAAACACGGAACTCAGAGGAATCTGTTAACCAGCATGCCTGAGCTCCTCATAGCATGAGAGCTGGCTTGCAAGAGGAAGTGTTGGGAAGAAGCATCTGGAGAACAGGCAGTCAAAGAGACAGAAATTTTACTGGATCTTGTGAGCATGTTCAGAAGTCATCAGTGTCATTATTGTTGGTTCCAAGTGAGTCCCTATGACCAACCCAGATGCAGAGTGGACGGTGATGACTTCTTTTGATGATGGAGTTTGGGGGTCACAGTGTACAAGAACATGTGACAAGGAAGAGGCTGCTGCCATTCTTTCTCTTCTTCACTCAGCCCAATGTTTGTTTCTCCTCAGGACTGAAAGCTTTATATTGGTGGTAGGGCCTATGCTTCTTCTGTCAAGCCATTGTATTATGAGAAAATATTTTGAGGGGTCTTTCTGGAGGAGAAAGAAGCTATTTACTTAGGATTTCCTCAGCCCCTGGCAATGTGCTAGTTATTTCTTTATCATCTGTGTCTTTCTGGTCTATCAGGGAAGTAAAACCTATTTTGCTCATATTTAGGGTGAGTGATGCTAACTTACCAGAGAAAATGTTCATGAGTACCTGCACTCTGTGTTAGAAACACTGATAAACTCTTAAAGTAAAATGATCAAGGAATAGATCCTAGCTATAATAAGGAATCTCCTAGTCTGGTTGAGAAAGCAGATAAATATTTTAATAATAATGGGTTTTATAAAGGTTACTGCAGGGTGCTTTGCAAGGAGGAGGAACCAAAATAAGCTGGAAGAGGAGGGCAGATGGGGTGGGAGCTGTCAGGGGAGGTTTTCTGTAGGAAAGAGCACCTGATCCTAGTGTTGGATAAACAGGGGTTAATCAGGAATATTGATTTCTTATTACTGAAGTAACAAATTGTCACAAACTTAATGACTTAAGGCAATATAGATTTATTTATCAAAATTCTGTAGTTCAGAGGTATATGAATGGGTCCACAAAGTGGTTTTATGGAGAATCAATTTCCTCACCTGTTTAGTTCCTTAGAAATAGTTTACATACCTTGGCACATTGCCCCTTCCTCTAACTTTAGAGTCAGAAACATAGTATCTTCTCTCCTTAAATCATCTCCCCTCCCCTTATTCCCGTACCCCACTGCCTCACCCCTATCCCTCTCAACCTTTCCCTATTCCTTCTTTCCCCTTGTCCCCCCTTGTCCTCACTCCCTCTCCCCCATAGCCACATTGCCACATTTCTCTCTCTCTGACTCTGATCACCTGGTTTCCTTTTATTAACCCTTGTGACTACATTGAGCTCACCTAGATAACACAGGATCGTTTCCTCATTTGATGTTCCTTAACTGAATCATAGGGATTGCAGAGTCCTTTTTACAAACCATGTAAGGTGAATATTCATGGGTAGCAGGGATTAGGACATGGGCATCTTTTGGA